TCCCTCCCCGCAGGTCCCGAACGGCCGGAACCTCCCCGCCTCCCCGCCCCGCAGGTCCCGAACCGCCGGACCCCCCCTCCCCGCCGCGCAGGTCCCGGCCGGAGCGCGGGGCCGGGTCACCTGACTCGCGGAATTTGGGGCCGCGCGGGGTGGAAGGGGAGGGGAGAGGCGAGCACCTCCCTTCTCGCTCCGGCTGGATCCAGGTCGGCGGGGGCCGGCGCCGGGCGGCCACGTGGTGGTGCTGCGGCTGCCCCCGCCCCGCCGGCCCAGCCCGGGAGCCGCGGCGCCCACTGACCCCCGCAGCGGGGGAGGAGGAGGGACCGCGGCGCAGGAAGCCGCGCAGGAAGCAAGCCCGGCGGCCGCGCTTTCCTGGGGAAGCGGCGGGCGGAGCGGCGCAGCCAGCGCGGGCCGGGAGCTGCCGCCGCCGCCGCCTGGATGGGGTGAGTGCGCCGCGCCGCGGGTCGGGAGGCTCTGCCCGGAGCGGGGAGCCGGCTCGCCGCCCGCCTTTGTGTCTGGGGCTCCGGCGAGGAACGGCGCGCCCGGTGGAGCGGCTGAGCGCGGGGGCAGTGAGGGTCCCGCCACGGCTCCCCGGCCCGCCGCCGGCGCCCACTGTCTGCAGAGGGAGGACGACCCGGCCAAGTTGGGAGCGGGCTTTGCTCCTGCCCGTCCCCCACCGCCCCTCGCGGGCCGGCGGCGAGGCGCGGGCGGGAATGAATGGCCAGCCCTGCAGGGCGTCCTGGGGGGCGGCGAGGCGGCGCCGGGTCCCACCTGCCTGGTGGCCCCGCGCCCCCCCACCCCCCCCAGGTCCTCGCTTCTGGGCTTGACCAGGCTCCACGCTGAACTTGGAGGAGCCGGGGGGAAGGTGCAAGCGGGAGATTCTGGAAGGCTCCGGCGACCGAGGGTCCGCTATTGTTCCTTTTCTGACTCGGGGAGCCCGTGGGCTGGCCCGGGGGTGCGGGCGAAGCTGCAGCGGGCCTGCTCGAGCCCGTCGCACCCCGTGTCCTTTTCCCCGCCACGGCTGCTAGGAGGGCCGGGAGGCGCGGTGCTGGAGTTCGGGCGAGGGGCGCCCGCCCGCCGTCCGTCCCCACCTCAGCCCAGGTGGGTGGGCACCCAACTCTAACCCGCCTTCCCTCCGCTGCGGCCGTGGACAGGTTTGTGTCCGCGCTTTAGTTCTGCCAGGTTTGGTGCTGCCTCCTGGTTCACGCTCTCCTTTGCGTGTGGATCTCTCACTCCGCGTTTGTGGAGGAGCGGGGCAGGATCCCGGGGGGGGGGGGGATGCGGGGGGGGTAGCAGACCGGACGGATGGAGCCCAGTGTGAAGTGGAGGAGTTACAAGTGGTCTCCCAGGGGCTGGCGCCTGGGCTGTACGTCCAGGCTTGCGCTTGTCCAGGGACCCCAGATCAGCGCACCTTTATTCCCAGTGGTCCAGGCATATCTGGGGCTCAAGGCCGCCCACCAAGACCAGCGGCTTCCCCCGTGGCCGCAGGCTCCCAGGTGACTCGGCTGCGTCTCCGGTTTCCTTCCGCGAGAGACTACTAAGCTGGCTGGGATGCGGACGTTACGAGTTCTTTCGAGAATGTGGTCTCAAGACTCTCAGGGCTGGGAGGGGGAGGACCTGGTCTGTCCATCAGTAGGACGCAGCAGATGCTCCTCTGAGAGACGACAGCCTCACCTTGTGGTTTGAACAAAGTTGGAGAAAGGCGAGTGCATCCTAGCGAGTCTGGCTTTTGAGTGCTCTGGCCCCCACCTGTTCACAGGTGTGGCTGGGAGTTTTCTTACTGATGGGTGCAATCTGATCATCTTTTCTTATGATGCCTACCCAGTGTCTTTTTTTTTTTTACCCTCCATTGGGCTTTTGTAAGATAGACTTTGTTGTGAGAAAATGTATCCAGTTCTTAGAATTTTCAGCCAGCGCTCGCGTAACTTGGATTGGGAGAGGTGGTCCCTTGCTGGGAGATCCCAGGTTCGTTCTTCTCCATTCATTGAGATGCTTCATTAATTAATTAATTCATTATTGTATCCTTTACACGCTTTAGACTTGTTCTATAACTCTTTGGGGGAGGTGGTTGTAACCCTATTGTGAAAAATCTTAATTACTCTGTGAAAAATAGAAAGAGTGGTTCTTGGACCACGGGGACCAAATAGGGGCATGACTGTGTCCCTGACATTGAAGCACCGTCTCCAGCCACCATTTCCCAAATTATCATTGAGGCAGGCACACTTAGTGTCACTCACATTTTAAAGGTGAAGAAACTGAGGTTTGGAGGTTAAGGAAACTTGGCTTGCAGTTAATGGACTATGATGGAGGAGCTTTGTCTCTCTTCCTTTTTCCCTTCAATATAAAAGTAAGTATGAAATATTTCACACATGGGGCACCTGGGTGGCTCAGTCGGTTAAGCGTCCGACTTCGGCTCAGGTCATAATCTCACGGTTTGTGGGTTTGAGCCCCGCGTCGGGCTCTGTGCTGACAGCCAGCTCAGAGCCTGGAGCCTGCTTCAGGTTCTGTCTCCCTCTCTCTCTCTGACCCTCCCCTGCTCACGCTGTCTCTCTCTCTCTCAGAAGTAAATAAAATATTAAAAATTAAAAAATATATTTCACACATAAGACAATGGACACTACTACTTATGTTTAAAAGTTGCTAACATTGCCATTATTCGTTTCATATCTCTGCCAGTAAAACTGCAACTGAAGTGTTTTATCCATTCTTCCTTCTCTTCCTCCATTCTCAGATGACCACTAAAGCTAAGTTAGTATACGTAGTTTCCAAACATGTTTTGGTACTTCTGTTTATTATATGTCCACAAGCAATACCAATGAGCCTGTGCATTTAATATTTTACATAAATGGCATAATTCTATATATGCACTTCCTGCATTTTTAAATTTGTCGTCATGTTTTGAGGTACATGTAGCTCTTATTTACTTTAGCTGCTACAGAGAATTTCAGAGTAGAAATAAATCGTAGTACACTCATTTCCTTGCAAAGAGAAAATTAGAATGTTTCCAGTTTTTTGCTATTACACTTTTGCGACTAAGGGCAGTTGATTTGTCCCCCCCCCCCTTTTTTTTTTTTTAAAGTAAAACAGTGCCATCCTGTTCTGTTCTGCACCTATCCCGTGAATTGCTGGGAGCTAGGGTCTAGGTAATGCTGCATTTAATATTTCATTCCTCAACAAAAATGTAGGGTATACATAGGGTCTCTCTTGTTTGTTGAATGGGAAAAAAAGTGAATTTGATCCATTTTCAGCTCTAAAATTAGGTGGATTATTCTGTTTTTATAATTTTTTAATTTTTTGAGGAGGAAAAGAGCCTCATAATTACAAGGTTGAAGCCTGAGACTGACTGTGGTGCTGAGTTTGGGATACTTGTTCCAAAGGCTTTTCTCAGGCGTTACTAGCAATGTAACCTTGGATTACCCACTCAGCCTTCTCTTCCTCCTTTCTTCAGACTTGGTAAGATTAAGTAGTTTTAGTAAGCATTTATGAAGGCATGTTCTTGCTCCAAGAGTTTATGAAAATGTGTTGACATTTTGCCCCAAATTGTAACCCCTTAATCTGGAAGCAATTTAAGGCATTTAAACACTTTGGCTTCCTCATTATCCCTTCAAATTGCCAGGCGCATTCCTGCCTCAGCCCTCATGTTCGCTGTCCCACTGTCTGGACCACTCTTCTAGATCCTCTCCGTGGCTGTGCCCCTCAGTACCCCAGGTCTTCACTTAGGTGTCTGTCACATCAGCTACCCGTCAGCTCCCAGCATGCCCTGCCCCTCTTCTCTGGTTTTTTCTCCATGGCACTTAACACCTTCTAGCTCCCCATGTATTTTGATATATATTAGTCTCATTAGTAGAATGTAAGCTCTACAAAGGCACAGATTTTGTGTCTTTTGTTCCCACTGTATCCTTGGTGCCTAGAGCAGTGTTGAAAACAGTAGGTACTCAGATGTTTGAATGGATGGATCTAATGCTCTTTGTGCATTTTTCTACTTAAAATTTCTTTTAGTACATTGTGGATATCCTTAATGGTGCTGGTGGTTCCACAGCTGTAACTGAGTCCCCAACGGTGTCCTAGGATAAAAAAAAAAAAAATCGGTCTTATAAATTACTCTATTGAAATATGTGTGCTTTATCCTACAAAGTATTTGTCTTCCTATTTTGTTTGTGGCAACATTTGCCTAAAACCTGAATTTGAAGAAAATATAAGTAATCTCTGGAAGCACACCCATCATTCCTTTTCTTGATAACCTAGCTTTCCAACATTTTAAATGTGGAAGACTGACGCTTCTATCCACATAGCATCTGTACAGACAGCCCAGCAATGGTCTTAATGCCAACTGCACTGAATTTCTAACAATAGAAAGTGCTTTTCTCTGAGTTGTTTGCAGAGGGTATATACTTATTGCCAACTATACATTCATGGTGAATTTTTGTTGGGGAGATGCTTTAATCTGAAGATCTGAAAGCAACCAAGTAGATAGTAAGGGACCTAGAAATACTTTAAGGATTTTATGATGTGACATTTTAAATTAATGTTACTAGAAATATTCACTGTTCAGTGTTGTGTGTTATTTAGCTAGAAACCAACTGAATTTTCTCTACCTTGCTTGATGAATATAGGAGTTAACAAAACAAAACTAAATATATCAAAGGCCTCTTGGGTATATTTTAAGTGGGTGATAGAGAAAAGGAGTCTAGGTTTTCTTTTCCTGTTAATTATATGGGTATATGATACTGATGGTATCCTTTATAAAAAATCACTAGCGTATGGAAGTATAACCACTGTGTCCTCTGTAATTAAATGGTATTAAAAGAAATCAGTTTATTATGGACCCAGACAGGGTTCACTTCAAGCTGAAAACTGTAAGCATACAATTATTTGATTATTCTCAAGATGCTACATGATTTAGAAATTTCTTCTTTTTGGGTTACTACCCATGAGCTGAAAAGTGTAGGTGGTTTAATGAGAGAGAAGGATTGTTAATCAACCATCAACTTCCCAACTCCACCCATCTGCAGTGAACAAAAAACTAGTCTTCAACATCAGACTCACGGATGGGTATCAGTAAATTTAGTCAGCATTTTAAGAAGTAGCTTTGTAGATGTAACCATGTATTTCAAAACAAATTCTTTTGTTTGAAGGAAGGAGTCTGCCACATTCTTCAATTTTATATTCCATGTATCTGGTGGCGTATCTGTCACATAGTAGGTGATTAACGTTTATTGAATTACACACAAGCACACACACAGGTGATAAAGCCTTTCGTGGATGTCATCGGATATTTAGCTCTCCTACTCTAGAATTTAATCAAAAGATGGGGAAGAGGAGTGGAGATAGCAAAATTCAGGTTGAGGTTCAGAAGATGCAGGTCTCTCTTCTCCCCTGTATTCAAGAAACATGTCCACCATTCAGAAAAGTCTGTGCATTGTGTTTTGACTGCTATTCCAGTGGGTTATGTGTGGCGGGTCACCTCCTCTAACCTTACCTGCTGTCTAGTTCAATTTCTTCTGTAGTGAATGGTGTTCACTGGATATACATTGTCTTGCTATGTAAATACCATGACCATTGGTCATCATAGAATCTGATTGTGACAAAAGTTGGTTATAGTCCAAGAAGTTTACTTGTACAGTAGGAGAAGCTATACTCTTTTTCTTTTCTCCTTAAATTGATACTTGCTGAACACCAAAGTTTATCATAAAGTAAACTGACATAAACAATTCATCCTCTACTGTATCAATTTCCCTCACAATCATTCTATTACTTTTTTATACTGCAACTCAACTTTTCTTATCCCTGTTAGGCATGGCGATTGGTAAGAACAAGATTGGTCTTCTCTTTGCTTTTTTCTTTGATTTCCAGAAGGGTTTGGTTAGGTTAATCCAGCATGTTTTTTTCTTCTTCTTCTTCTTTCTTTTTTTTTTTTTTTTAGATAATCCCTGCTTTTTTTTTTTTTTAAGTTTATTTATTTTGAGAGCACAGAGGAGCGGCAGGGAGAGAGGGAGAGGAAGAGAGAATCCCAAGCAGGCTCAGTGGGCATGTGGAGCCCTGTGATGCAGGGCTTGAACTTGGGGAACTGTGAGTCATGACCTGAGCCGAAATCAAGAGTGTGACACTTAACTGACTGAGACACCTAGGTGCCCCTTTTTCTTTTTAAAGTGCTAAGTGACTACAGAACAGCCACAGCAACATCTGTGAGACTCTGTTCACTGCATCTGTCCAGTTCTTTTTGTTGGCGGCAGTGATGGAAACTCAGACAGAAAAAGGAACTCTGGCAGAGTGCGCTGTGAGGAATATAAGGCCGAACAGCTTCCCTTTGCTCTAGGGCAGCACAGAGTGAAGTGTTTTCCACCAAGAGGAGTCCATTTTGCAAACCAGGAAAGGCCACTTAGCAGTGATTTCTAAGTGTTTTGAATCACAGATGGACATTTGCAAATCTGATGCCATTTTTTGCAGGGAGAGGTTTTGGACCATTTTTCCTAGGGAGAGGTTCACTTGTATACAGGGATGCTGTATGTTCATAATCTTTGTCAGTTTCAAGAGCACGGAACTCTCTGTGTTAAGTCCATTTTTGAACCTCTTTGGACTCCCCAGATTAAAAGCCCAAGATCTAGGGGCCTCTGGGTGGCTCAGTTGATTAAGCATTGGACTTTGGCTCAGGTCACGATCTTATGGTTGTGAGTTCGAGCCCCACATCGGGCTCTGTGCTGACCAGGCAGAGCCTCCTTGGGATTCTCTCGCTCTTCCTCTCTCTCTGCTCCTTCCCCACTTGTGCTTTCTCCTCCCTCTCTCAAAATAAATAAGTAAACTTAAAAGCCTGAGATCTATTGAAAGTACCTAGAAAACCATTATCGAATTTTTGCTGTTTACCTTTAACAGCTACCTCTTCAGGATCAAGAGTAGAATGACAAGGGTTTATTCTGTATCGTGTGCCACTGTCTCCAGACCTGATAACCTGTCATACGTGAATGAAAAGAATTCTACCTTCAGTTGGAAAACCAGTCACTGGTTGCTATGCCAACCAGTTGACCTACCATTGACCGTTTTTAGGAACTGTTTGCACTGGATGCAATAAAATGCTACTCAGAAGTAATGAGTGCATCAGTAGTCTGACCATACACAGAGCTTTGATGGATTCTAAGGAGGGTCTTGAGGGTCTCACCCCATGGACAGCCTGTTCCTTGGTTTAGTGCTGGGTCTGGATGGTCGTCTGCTTTCCAGTGGCAGCAGCTTCCCTCCTGTGGCAGTATGGAACCAAGATGTCCCTGGGCCCCACCTAACCATGCTCCCCAGCTCACAGGATAAGTCTTTGCTCAGTCCAGTGGAGGAAATGTTCCCAACACACTGTCTATTCTGCACATCTTGGCCTCCCAGCCTGGTGGCGCTGCCTCCAGGAAACCCGAGGAAGACAGGGAGCTAACCCTCAGCTAGTTGCCTGTGCTCCCAGAGTCTTCCTTCTGTGGAGGTAGCAGACAGTGGGAAGAGGTCCTGCCATTGTTAGCCACACGCAGGGAGCTTGTTCTGTCACTGTTCACCTTAGGTGACATCCTCAGTCCCTTTAGTCAAAAATTGGGCCAAAGGGCATACATATCTGCCTGTTTCAGGGCAAGTGCTGCAGGCTCTATAAGTCAGTTTAATTGTATTGAGGTCCTTCTGTGCACCAGGCACTGTGCTCCTAGGCTGTGGCTTATGGAGGTCCAGGCTGGTCTTCGTCATTGTCGCATCTCCTGTGAGCCATCCGTGTTGATGGAATCACTGAGTGTTAGAAGATCCGTACATGAAGGATGATAACCTGCTTTCATGGAGCTTACAGTTTTAACGAGGTTAACACATCTGCTGTCCACTATAGTACAAGGCAGATTGTGGTTGGAATAATGTAGTGGGAGAATTCCTTTTATAGCTGGATTGAGAACTGGGGAAATGAAATGACCCCTTAGAAAGTGGCAGATTAATAGGCAGAGCCAGATGAACTTCCATTCTGGCTGCTCATAGCACAGGGCTTCTAAATGTTGTACTTTTGTCTCTGCGCCATAGACCGTGACCTTGGGAGTCCTATGTGGAGCTAATTCCTTGATGTCCATGAAGTAATTAGACTTGGTATAGACTTGGACTAGCTGGGTTGGAGACCAGTAGGGAATCCCAGGAGGCAGATGCCATTGAGCAGGGACGTGAAGGTCAGAAGGCACCAGAACTCAGTCCCTTCACGCGCTGCTGAGTAAGAATCACATGAACAAATATTTGTCGAGGCATTTCAGTGAGTTAACTTCTGCGCCGAGTCTCTTAATTGGACAGGACTGCTCATGTAACTTGACCATCTCCTTGTATGAAAGTTGACACGTTGGTGATCATTTTTCAAAAATGAAAGAGCACTAACTTGCCCTGGATGATTACGACCTGCAGTTACTTAACTGCTTGGCATAGTCTCTTCCCAGCCACCCAGAGGATGTGGGAACTTGGGAGCCAAAGGCTCATGAACAGTGGGTTGCTTTTTCTTTCTTTAGAAGGCAGCCAAAATTAAAATGCAAGCTAGGACCCAGACATAAACATGTGCTGGGGCCCTAGGAAGAATCGAAAGGGCCCTGAGGTCCTGGATCAGCCTTGTCGGGAGATCCTCACGCAGGACTGGGTGGTGATGAGTAGCCTGCCATTCTCTCCAGTCGAATTGTATTTCGTGGCCACCCCATCCACATTTACCGTGGGGGCAAGTTGCTTCGAATGCTCTTGGAGCCTTCTTAGATCTTTGTTTTTGTAAACTTAGATTGAGGAGGGGCATGTGGAGAGGAGGTGAAGCTATATCCTTTCTCTCTTCTGATTAAAAAACGTTTCACATTTCTTTCCTATGAGCTTTTTGTAAATTGGGGGAAAACTATTTAAAATACAGGCAGAGAAACTATGACCAGTCCTGTATGCCATTCAGGATTTCCTAGGGGATCTTTTAAGAAAAACCTCCTTCCTTCCACTATCCTTATCTACACACCCATTCAACAATCTTGACCAAAACCTCTGTAATTAGATTCTTTCTATGTTATACCACTTCATACCATGTCTGGCATGCCCTTTGTTTCCTTTTTCTATCATTTTCCTCCAGAGCCTCCAAAAGCCTAAAAGAGTTTTCCTCAAAATGACTTCTATCCCTGCCTGTCTCGGGGCCAATCTGTTGACGGCTGCATTACTGTTAGTGTCTTGTTTGGTGACAAGTTTGCTTTCTTCCTCTTCTTTTTTATTTATTTATTTAAAAAGATTGTTTTTTAATGTTTTTTATTTATTTCTGAGAGAGACAGCATGAGCAGGGGAGGGTCAAGAGAGAGAAGGGGAGACACAGAATCTGAAACAGCCTCCAGGCTCTGAGCTAGCTGTCAGCACACAGCTCAACACGGGGCTTGAACCCACGAACTGTGAGATCATGACCTGAGCCAAAGTCAGACGCTTAACCGACTGAGCCACCCAGGCACCCCTCTTCCTCTTCTTTAAAGCAACCCCTGGTTATTTTAAGCTCATACCCCTTGGAACAAAGTGCATTTTATTCTCCTTACATGGCAAGCAGTTGTTTATATCCAAGGTGGCAAAGGAAAACAGAAAGAGTGGCTCACCCTATCCTGGTGACATCTGCCTCAGGCTCAGATGGCAGCCTGCCAGTGGTCAGGGTGCCTCTGGGTTGTGGCTTCCAGAACAAATACCACCTGTCCTCTCTGCCCCATTCCTGTCTGGTTGGGCGATGTGTTTTAGGGTTCTACTTTGATTATAATATTGGTGCTTTTAAGTCTAAAGCGTTGCGATATTTCATTTTATATAGCTTAGCAAGAGCTGTTATACAGGATATTAGAATAACTTCTTAAGGAGCAGAAACATTCTAATCATAGAGAAGCATCTACGTATCCAGAAGCTCTGCTTTTCCAAATTGTTGCCAAAACATGGAAACCTCCACCCAAATCTGTAGTTTCCCAGCTTGGCTGAGTATAAAAATAGCCACATCACTGGTCTGTAATCAGCTTTACATTTTCACTGTTACTGACTTAATTTCTTTAGCAAAGCTATATGGAAAAGAAATTTATGACTGCTGAGTTCCTTAAACTTACTTGTCACACATTCGCTCTGCAAATGAAAGGACAGAAGTAAAAATGCTACCCTCCCCTGGAATGAGGCAGGGGTGTGTGAGTGAGGGCGAACGGCCAGAAGCATGCCTTTTTCAAGTTGGTCCATTCAAGCTTCTTAGAAGGAGCTCTGGTTGTGCCAGCAGCAGATGTGAGAACTGTTTCATCTTTAAAGGCATCTAAGTTTTTTTGTTTTTTGTTTTTTTTTCAAGTAGTGAAAAGGTTGGTCTGTTGGCCAGACTGGTTTTTTTGGGGTTTTTTACTTTTTTTTTTTTTGGTAATTATTATTGCTAGTGCTGTATTTAATATGCAGCCCAGTGACCTGTTTTGGGCCTGGAAGCTGGGTTTAAATTCAACCTCCTTCCTTTATAAACTGTGCCTCTTTGGCAAAAATCAACTTTCTAGGTGGCCATTTCCTAATCTGGAACCTGGCAATGATGACAACAGCATCTAATTCCAAAGTGGTATAAGCATTAAACGAGAAAATACTCGCTTATAATTAGTCAAAAGACACTTTTTTTGAAAAGTAAAATAAAATCTTGCAAGGTAATCATTTAAGTAAATGACTGCTATTGTGGCTGTTACTCTAATTGCTAATGTTAATCCTGTTCCTTATTAACCTACCTTTAAGTTTTTGTTTTAATGTTTATTTTTGAGAGAGAGCATGAGCAGAGGAGGGGCAGAGAGAGGGAGGAGACACAGAATCTGAAGCAGGCTGCAGGCTCTGAGCTGTCAGCACAGGGCTTGAACCCACGAACAGGGAGATCATCACCTGAGCTGAAGTCAGACGCTTAACCAACTGAGCCACCCAGGCACCCATTTATCACCTACCTTTAAAGAAGTGCTGGTAGACTGGGCACTATGGTTCTAACTCCGTTGTAATCCATAGCCACAGAGAGGGGCTGCTGCTTCTCTGTGTCTCCTTTAAAAAAATTTTTTTAATGTTTTATTTCTGAGAGAGAGAGAGAGACAGAGACAGAATGAGCAGGGGAGGGTCAGAGAGAGGGAGACACAGAACCTGAAGCAGGCTCTAGGCTCCAAGCTGTCAGCACAGAGTCCGACGCAGGGCTCGAACCCACGAACCGTGAGATCATGACCTGAGCTGAAGTCGGACGCTTAACTGACTGAGCCACCCAGGCGCCCCTCTGCTTTGTGTCTTCTGTGTGTTCGCAATGATTTTCCTTGTATTTCCTCCTTCCTTTAGTCCTGCTATTGTCAAACCACCAGGTGATGTGGACAACGTGAAGATATGTTTCCGTCTGTAGTGACCAGTCTTATTCCAAATTTGCATCAGCAAGTGGCTCAGTCTCTCCAGACAACTTTTGCTGTTTCGGTCCTAATCCAGGCACGGAGCTGTAACATTGCGGTTTACGTAAAGCGGAGGCCATGGCAATTAGAATGAGCTGATGAGGAAGTTAAATTCCCTATGGAAAGCTTTGGAAAATTGTCCAGCTCTAGCTAGAGAAAAACTCATTTTCTGGACCGTGTGGAACAGAGTACTAGTTGAGTGTGCGTAGAGGTCCGGCAGTCTGGAGTGAAGTGACATGGTTGGATCATCTTTCCTCCTCCTGTGTGTGGCAGAGTGAATCTATTAAATTACAGCGTTCTTTATCCTTAACTTGGACTATTGACCAGACCTGAGATGTACACATTTATGATATTAAGTGGACCTTAAGCGTGCCATTTTCTGCTTAATTTTATGCCTGCCTTCGTAGTAATAAGGTGCAGCTATTGCTAAACGAATGTACTTATCACAGTCTTTTGAAGGGAACATCTTCAATCCTCACTACCTAACAAATATAAGCAAGCCACAAATACAAAGCCACGTAGGTCATTTTCATTTTTCTAATCACAAGGGAAGCAAATGAAATTAATTGTAATATATTTTATTTGACCTGGTGTGTCCAGAATATTATCAATATGCACTGAATATAAAACTTATTAATGATATAGTTGACATTTGTTGTTTTACAGTGTTTGAAATCTGTTGTGTGTTTGCCACTTACAGGGCACACCCGTGTGCACTAGTCCCATTTCACATGCTCAGTGATTACGTGTGTTGGACAGCAGTGATCTAACAATATGTCATCTTGTGGATCCTGTGACCCTAGGACACCTGATACCTGGAATGCCTTTAGTAACACATTTCAGCTTCTCTCTGTCTTTACCCAGTTATTGGGGATTTTGCCCTTAGCTTTCAGCATTTCTTTAGAGATAAATGAAAAACTGATTGCATGTGGTGTAATGGGTACTGTGTGTTGGGTGTACAAATCTGTATCCCTGTGCTTTTGTGCAAGTGCATTGATCTACGTGGACCTTTATTATTTTTTTTCCTTTGTAGTCAGGCCAGGGGATGAGCCAATTTCTGCATCCCCTATATACTTGGCCCATAGTTGGGATTCAGGGCTAAGTATAAATAAAACCACATAGGTTTCTTATTTTTCTCCTTAAATTGCAAGTTCTTGCCTCACCGTGATATTTATACCCCATAAACCCCCCTGGCATCACATATGAGGCATGGTGGTTTGTGGATGTGTGGGCCGTAGGGGGAAAATGTTTCATCTTTGTTACTGTTGAAGGAAGTATTCCCATCTTTCACATTAATGCTGTTTGCTTCTTATCCCT